TTTTTAACATAATGATAAACGACCTATTTGATGGCTTATCCCCCAAAATAAACACCTCAAAATTTGCGGATGACGGAGCCCTATGGATCCGCTCCAAAAGTATCTTAACATCTCAGGACTTACTACAAAAATCCCTAAACAAAATACAAAACTGGGCAGACAAATGGGGCTTCTCCCTAAACTCCGAAAAAACGACAGGAATAGTATTCAAACACAAAAATATGAGACGGGCCTCCCCTCTCCTCAAACTAAACAATAAACCAATCATATTTCAAAAGCAAACTAAATTCCTAGGTCTAATCTTCGACGAGCATCTCTCCTGGGATGCTCACGTCCAAAACCTAACCACCAGATGTAGCAAAGATCTAAACACACTAAGATGCCTAACCGGCTCCAACTGGGGAGCCTCTAAAGATACCCTCCTCAGCCTCTACACATCCCTAATCAGATCTAAACTAGACTACGGCTGTGCCATATACGATACCCTAAACGAAACCCTAACCAAAAAACTAGATTCAATACAATATCAAGCCCTCAAACTAGTAACACGTACTCAACATGGCACCTCCCTCACATCACTTCAGGCCCTTACAGGAGAAATGCCACTAAATTTACGTAGACAACACTTAACACTAAACTTCTGGGCAGCATCTCAATCAAACCCCCTTCTCCAAAACATGCTAAACCAAAACATACGTCCCCAAAACCAGGCACTAACTAGAAAACACCCTCTACTCACCCCAATATCCCAACGAATAATAAACTACCATAACGAACACCAAATAGGAAACCAACAACAAAACTGCAAACAATCAAACGTATTCACCCCAAAACTTAAAATCCCCAAAATAGACACATCCCTAGCCAACACAATAAACAAACAAACCGACCCAAACCTAGCTAAAAGCACATCACTAGCTTACATCCATCAAAAATGGCCAAATTGGTGTCACATATACACAGACGGATCCGCTGATCCGATCACAAATCACACAGGTTTCGGAGTCCATATAGCCCAACCAGTCAAAAATACTCAATCCTTCCGACTCCCAAACAACCAATCTATATTCACCGCAGAGCTCATGGGTATCGCCACGGCGCTCCACAGCCATCACACCAAAAACCAAAAAAAAATCTTAATACTCTCAGACTCACTAAGCGGACTTCAGGCCCTCCAAAACAAAAACACCAAAAACCGCCCCAAATTAATAAACCAAATTCTCAAAAGCGTAAACAAACTAACAGAGGCAGGCAAAAACATACAACTTATCTGGATACCAGCTCACGTAGGAATTTACGGGAATGAAAACGCAGACAGAGCCGCAAAACAATCCCTAAAAATACCAGACATAAGCCTTAAGCTACCAATATCTAAAGCAGAAATCAAAAGTATAAACAAACGTAAAATCACCCAAAAATGGCATAACCTCTATCAAAACACAAAAACCCAAATCCTAAAAACCCTCAAAAAACCCCTCACCAAACCAAAAATCCTCCATCCCTCCAAAAAAATCGATAGAATAATCACCAAACTCCAAACAGGACACACCAAACTAAATAACCACCTTCTAAAACTAAAAAAACACGCAAACGGGAAGTGCCCACACTGCACTCACCCAGAAACAATAGACCACGTACTACTACATTGCACCCACTACCTCACACAACGTACAACATTACAAACCAACCTAAATCCAAATAACGCTCTTACCTTAGAAGCAATCCTTAACCCCCAAAATAAAATAGAAAACTTCAAAGCCCTAGGCATTTACCTAACCAAAACAGAACTAATTAACCGTATTTAAAACTTCACTAAACCACCAACACTAAACATCCAAAAAACATCAACTCACCCCCACACACTCCCTTAGTCCCAACCACTCCCCCAAGGCATGTATTCCAAATCTCAAAATTTCAAAACTTTATATAAGCAACCACTAAACCCCCCTCCTTGGTTGCACTCCTCTTGCTACCACTTTTATACCACTAAATGGCCCGGCCGGGCCCGTGTGCGAAATACGCTCCAGTCGGAAAGCGCACGTAAAATCTCCTAATATAAGTAAGTAAAAGTAGGACTAGAACAAGCAGCCACGCACACGTGCATGCACGTTGCTATATAAGTGCAATAATCTTGGATCCAACGTTGAACCTAATTTCACCTCACCTCACTCCAAACTTTCAAAATCTCTTGAACAACCAGTCTCAACCACACACGGAAATGAGAAGTCAAAGGGCCAAAATCTAGCAAGGTGACTTTGGCCTATTTGAAACTTGACTTTGGCCCTTTTACAGAATTTTAAATAGCTATATTTCAAAAACTTATCAATTTCTCTACAAGTAGACAAGAACTCATAGATGTTATTTATGCAATAATATACAGAAGGGCCATTTTGGCACCTTTTGGCTCTAAGCTCTTCAACTGGTCTGTTGGCTGCATGAAATGTGTGTAAATGTCTGCGATTTTTTTGCGGGTTTGTTTATTATTATTATCAGTAACATGGTCCTGTGACTGACCACAAGTTATCGACCTGCTGAGGCTTTTATTTCAGATCAAGACACCCGTGAAAATCCGGGTTAGAATATGTCTTCAGCAACCCCTGCTTTCCATAAAAGGCGACTATGCTTGTCGTAAGAGCGACTAACGGGATCAGGTGGTCAGGCTCGCTGACTTGGTTGATGCATGTCATCGTATCATAATTGCGTAGATCGATGCTCATAATATTAATCACCGGAATATCTGGTCCAGACTCGATCATTTACAGACCGCCGTCATATAGCTGGAATATTGCTGAGTGCGGCGTCAGACAACAAACAAACAAATCAGGCAATTCCAAAAAAACAAACAAAACAAGACCCTCCCGAATAACATAAACACTGACGGATTAGATAAGGACGGAGCTTGCTGGGGCGATGGGGTCGCCTAGTGGTAAAATCGTTCGCTTACCAATTCCCCACGTGGGTACAATGTGTGAAGCCCACTTCTGTCCCCCGTCGTGTGATACTGCTGGAATATTGATAAAAGCGGCGTAAAACAATACTCACTTACCCATGATGTCAGAGATGGCGGGACTGTGGTAGTTTTGTGCGTGTGACAGATTACATAGGTGCTAGGTCCGTCGCGGTTATATAATCAACACAATTTCCTTTTCTACATTAAAAAATAGAAATTCACAATGATAGTATTGACAAGAGAGACGCCCTTCTCTTCGTAAATGCTTGTGTCGTATGTCTTGTATGGTAATATTTGCGATTTCCTGAGAAAACCTTCCAAAGTGCCGACATAATTAATAGATTTGACAGCCGAACCGATGTCATCTGGGTTCCAATCACTGCTTAAACTTAAACCACAGGTCAAACTCAAACCACTGCTCTAACTCAAACCACAGATCAAACTCAAACCACTGCTCAAACTCAAACCACAGATCAAACTCAAACCACTGCCCAAACTCAAACCACAGATCAAACTCAAACCACTGCCCAAACTCAAACCACAGATCATACGCAAAGCACTGCTTGAGTATTGAGTAAAGACCGCTTGGCTAACATACGGAACAAACTCAAACTACAGCTCTAACACAAACCACAGCTCAAACTCAAACCACTGCTTGAGTATTGTTTACGCCGCGTTTTGCAGCCACAACTGTCTTTACACATTGTACCATGTGGGGTATCAGCTTTCAGCATGAGGAGCGAACGCTCTACCTGCTTGGCTACCGTACGCCCTTAAGCTCTGCCAGACAAGTGACAAAGTTGCGAAAGACTGTAGTTTCCACAGACTTCAGACTGCAAAGTGATGAAGAGAATTTACTTTATTGTACTTTGTAAATATATACAGAGACATCATATTTTAAACCATTCATTGACTAGATGTACAACATTTACAATAAGTGGAGATGCGTCTGTACAATCGTCTTCAGGCGAACGCATGTTGATGATGTTAAAATAAATAAGTCCATTTGTGACTTGTGCTTGTGTTTTGCCAAGACTGCAAATGAAATTTCTTTCTCGTGGATTCTCTTCATGGGAGATAACTCCTCATACTACATTTGAACGTGATGTGGTCACGTGTCTTTTTCTTCTTTTTGCCATAGTTATTGTCGACTCTTTACTGTTTTGCACTGTTTCCTTATCAGGATCATACAAAGTAATTATCCCCTAGAATGTCTCCGCCAGACTTCCTGAGGGAGACGCATGTGCTGAATGAGTATTTATTGTTTAACGCCACATCAACCAACAGATGCAAGTACTGGGATTCTGGGAGTCAGCTAGATCCTGTTTGATCGTTGTTTTACGCCGCACTTAGCGGTATTCCAGCTGTATGACGGCGGTCTGTAAATGATCGAGCCTGGAACAGACAACCCAGTGATTGATAACATGAGCATCGACCACGCAGTTGGGATACGATGCCATCGTCAACCAAGTCAGGGAGCCTGACCACCCGATCCCGTAGTCGCCTCTTACGACAAGCATAGTCGCCTTTTACGACAAGCATTGTCGCCTTTCACGGCAACAAAGCTTGCTGAAGACATATTCTGCCTGTGAATGGAAAGTAAATCAGTTGTTCAAGAAATGCTGTATAAGAGAAGTCCTCGGGTTTCAGAAAACAATTTCGTTCGCGGGACATGCTAGTTTTTATGGAATAAAGTGTGTTGTGGGTCCAAGCAGATTTCTATGACAGCGGCCTGTTAACGTTACCATTTAATCTGGGCCAGACAAACCAGTGATCAACATTATGAGCAACGATCGATCTACGTTGACACGCTATATATCAAGCCGAGACTACTCCCTGCCTATTTAACCCGTGAAGATCCGGGATAGAATAGGTCTTCAGCAGCCCATGCTTGCCGTAAAAGGCGACTATGCTTGTCGTAAGAGGCGACTGTGCTTGTCATATGAGGCGACTATGCTTGTCGTAAGAGGCGACTGACGAGGTCGGGTGGTCAGGCTCGCTGACTTGGTTGAAGCATGTCATCGATCCAAATTGCTTAAATCGATGCTCATGATGTCATTCACTGGATTGTCCGGTCCATATTCGATTATTTACAGACCGCCGTCATATAGCTGGAATATTGCTGAGTGCGGCGTAAAACAACAAACCAGCCAACCCTTTCTATTTAGACGCTTCGTGTGACAAGACAATGTACCTGGGGGCCTATTGCAACACGCCCCTGTCGGGACAAGTAACTTAGACTGAGATTTCATACTGAATGCTTCACCATGCGTGCTCGTGAGCTTGGAGCTAACTTTTTTATTCATATGACACTCTTTATAAGAATAAAAGATGAAAAATATATTTCAACATTGAAGTATTGGCATCCGAGAACCAGAGAAACATTTCATGGCATCCGGCGTACTGCACTGCGGCATCCGGAACAACAGGGGCATCCAAAATGGGGTTGGCATCCCTATTCCCACTAGGTCATATTGTCCACCCTATAAGTTGACCTCGCTTGCCCACAAGCCTTGGTTATCCGGAGAGGGGTTCAGAAACGCGAGAATACCTGATGACCAATGAAATATTTTTTTCTCCATCATCGATCGGTAAACACGTGGTGGTAATCATTCTCTTTGAAAGCTGTTCTCCAAACGCAGAAACATCCTATAACGGCATAATTGTCTCACGTGCCAGTCATGAGGGGGGAGGGGATTTGGGTGTGGTTGGTTCCGACCCCGGGGATTTGTCAAGAGGCTGGAAGGCAGAATGTTCACTGCCCAGGGAGAGGCGTGGTGTGGGCGGCGTCAAGGCCTCACGTTGAGAGGTCAGACGGCTGAGGTCACTCGTGCTGGCCAGTGACGTGGGTGGTAACCCTGGCAACAGTCGGAATGTCTCCATCGGTGTGTGTGTGGGGACAGGAAGCGTGGGGTAGCGGAAGACGAAGGGAGATGATGTGTGGAGGAGCTTCAGACGCTGGTGACGTCGCCATTTCGCCCGTCTGTTGGAAAACCACACCTGAAAAATAATGATATTTCAGATTGCAGTGATTATTCAGATTATAATCAATCGCCTTTTCTTCAATGATCTATGGAATTCCTTGCGTGTGATTCAGGAACATAATATATGCTTCTTGATAGTGCGGAAATCATTTAATATTTAAGTACCGTCCATACAAACGAGTTAATCGGCGCCAACGAGGTGAGGTGAAATTGGGTTTAACGTCGCGTCCAAGATTATTGCACTTATATAGCGACGTGCATGCACGTATGTGTGTGTGTGTGGCTGCTTGTACTAGTCCGGACTGATGCCGATTTATAGTGCTAGGCCACTGAGATACCATGCCGCAGTTTAACATGAGTACCCCACTCAGACACAGTATACTGACTCCGAGCCGACCAATCCTTGTTTAAGCCCCTTAATGCCGAGCGCCAGACAGGGTGACAACAAGTACCATCTTTTAACGACTTTTGGTATGACGCGGCAGGGGATCGAACCCCGGACCTTCCGCTCTCCGGGCGGACGCTCTACCACTAGACCACGGAGGCGGTCTCCACACCAACGAAGCACGATGACGTACAAGTCGCCGAGCCTGACCACCCGACGCTCTAAAGGTTCAAACACGCATACATCACTCGGGGTCACCCCACTTAAAGTGAGCAGTCAATTATATCATTTCTCTGAGGCAGTCCCCTTGAGGACTGGGTAGAAATGTTCCCCAGCGCACCGACGGTGTGGACAAGTGCTGATAATGTCAGTCACTGGATTGTCTAGTCCAGACTCGATTATTTACGGGCCGTCGTCATATCGATGGAGTATTACTGAATGAGGCATTCAACTACAAACAGACTCGCTGAGACGGGGTTTCAGAAGCCCATCCTTTGGTGTTTACATTTCACAACTTTTGAGGTCCAATCGAGCATGTTTATTCTACAAAGATTTCAAGAGCGTCATACGATTCTTGCTCAAAAGATTTTATTCAGGATTACCACTTTCAAATCCTTAATAGAGCTTTCAAAAAGTTTTATGATAGACGTGACATTTCCAAATGAAACGTATCAGTGACAAAAATTATGTCCGAAGCAATTCTCTGTTTTGACCTGTACCGTGTGCCTCCGTGTTTTTCAGGCGAACAGTTGACATGCCTGTGCATGTGTTTGTGACGCGTGTCACCGGTAGGTCTGGATACAATCACCGTTTCACGGACCCTGGTACGTATACCGTCACTATTTGATCGTCATTCATAACTACATGGTACAGTCGGAATCATACAATGGACTCTGCTTGTAGCATACATTTGTTATGATTATGGTTATTGTTGTTGTTTGCTGGGCATGGGTTGTGTCTCACCTGCACTCTGGCCTCCGAAAGGTTAGTTTTGGAAGCGAGGTCTTCCCGGGTGGCGACCCCGGGGTAGTGAGTCCTGTGGAACTCCTTCTCCAGCACCTCCAGCTGTTCCTGTGTGAAAGTCGTCCTGTTCCTCCTCAGCTTCTGGTGATGGTCGGAACTGTCGGGGCTGCTGCCGAGTGGATCTGAAAGATTGAGTGAGTGAGTGAGTGTGGTTTAGCAATATTCCAGCAATATCACGGCGGGGGACACCAGAAATGGGTTCACACAATCGAACCCGGGTGTTCGGCGTGACCAGCGAACGTTTTAACCACTAGCCGACCTGTTTGGTTTCTCTATCTGATGCCCAGCGCTAGGCAGGGAAACAACAAGTACCATTTGTACGTTCTTTGGTAGGACGGAGCGGGGATCAAACCACCGACCTGCCGCTCTCCAGGCAGACGCTCTTATAATCGACCACTGAGGCGGTCTCTAGGCAGACGCTCTATTCACTAGACGACGGAGGCGGTCTCCGGGCAGGCGCTCTATCCACTACACCATGGAGGCGATCTCCGGACACACGCTCTATCCACTACACCACGGAGGCGGTTTCTAGGCAGACGCTCTATCCACTACACCACGGAGGCGGTTTCTAGGCAGGCGCTCTATCCACTTCACCATGGAGGCGATCTCCGGACACACGCTCTATCCACTACACCACGGAGGCGGTTTCTAGGCAGACGCTCTATCCACTACACAACGGAGGCGGTCTCCAGGCAGACGCTCTATCAACGACACCACGGAGGCGGTCTCTAGGCAGATGCTCTATCCACTACACAACAAAGGCGGTCTCCGGGCAGACGCTCTATCCACTACACAACAAAGGCGGTCTCCGGGCAGACGGTCTATCCACTACACAACAAAGGCGGTCTCCGGGCAGACGCTCTATCCACTACACCACGGAGGCGGTCTCCGGGCACACGCTCTGTCCACTACACCACGGAGGCGGTTCTGTTCTTTTAAAGGTCGTCATCGACCGCTAATTCCAAGCCCTGCTTAATCCCAGATCGATGTTAAGAGTATCGTAATATTTATAGTTTCACGTGTTTTTCTGCATATACGTACTAACTGTACGTTCTAAATCTGGTATCGTGTGTTTCTAGTCACGTGTTGCTTTAGGTCTGTAAGCCTTTAAGTATCACTCGATGGCGATGAAATGTGGAACTTGAGACAATCGTGGCGCGAAGTCATCTAAAGGTTCTACTACACCAAATCAGTACCAGTTTGGAGAGTGCGGTTTTCGTAGGGAGCCTTCAGTGCAGATCGAGAGATATCTGCAGGCTGTGATTGGAGGATATTCTGTAAGATTTTTATGTCTTTCAAATGTACATCCATCCAGTTATTAAAACTGACCATGTTTTTCTATATTTAGTACTGTCTTTTTCAACATGATGACTTATGCTGAATGTGACCACAGCTATTTTCAAGTAGGTGACATTTGGTGCGAAACTGGGGGTGGTGTGTTTAGCTTCCGGTACTCGGAAAAGGAGCTGGCTAAGCTAGTCATTTTTATTTTTTTTATTGCTGCTCTAAGGCCAAACTGTGCACACACGTACAGGTAATAGCTGTTGAATGCTTAGTTATTTAAAAAAAAATCATAACGTTACTATAGAAGTAAAGCAGACTTGAAAAATGAAATTACAATATTTTTGACATATTTCAGTAGCAACACTAACCTTCGTCTGAAGATTCACAATCTCTCTCCATAATCCAAGGGTCTTGGGGTTTGACAAAGGGGCGACTACTCTGATGAAGGCTTGTAGGCGGCGCCACTGCTGGTCCCCATAAAGGATGATAAAGAGGCTGCAGCACGTGCGTCGCCATCTTAGCGTACTCTGCGGCTGCGCGTTCTGCTGCTCTGTTCCGGAGGATACGGTTGATTGAGCTGACGCTGGGGAGGTTGGACTGCGTGCACACGCCTGAGCAAGAATATATACCAATGCGTTATATAGGAATATATAACGGTGTTTAATGTTTGTTTGTTTGTTTGTTGTTTAACGCCGTACTCAGCAATATTGCTGCTATTCTGTAAATAATCGAGTCTGGACGAGACAATTCAGTGATTGTTATCATGAACATCGATCCACTCAATTGGGATACGATGACATGCATCGACCAAGTCTGCGAGCCTGACCACCCGATCCCGTTAGTTGCCTCTTACGACAAGCATTGTCACCTCTTACGACAAGCATGGATTGCTGAAGACCTATTCTACCCCGGATCTTCACGGGTCGTGATTTCTGTAAGAATATATGACAATGTCTTCTATAAGAATACATGACAGTGTCTTTTACGCCGACACCAGGTTGTTTGAGAAATTATTTTGATATCCAGTCATTCAAGCCGAACAATTTCTGTGAATAGAGGAGCCATTGAAATTTGCTTGGACCCACAACACAGCATATTCCAGAACAACTAGCATGTCTCGCGAACGAATTTGAAATTTCTGAAACCCGAGGACATTTCTTATGCAGCCTTTCGTAAACAACTGATTTACTTTCCATTCAATCACGGGGTAGAATAGGTCTTCAGCAACCCATGCTTGCCGTAAAAGGCGACTATGCTTGTCGTTAAAGGCGACTCGGTTGGTCAGGCTCGCTGACTTGGTTGATGCATGTCATTGTATCCCAATTGCGTGGGCCGATGCTCATGATATCAATCACTGGATTGTCTGTTCCAGGCTCGATCATTTACAGACCGCCGTCATACAGCTGGAATATTTCTGAGAGCGGCGTTAAGCAGCAAACAAACAAACTTTCCAATCACTGGTTTATTTGGGCCCAGTCTTCATTATCTACAAGCAGCCGTCATATACAGTCAAGTCCCGTTAATCCGACATCGATGGTTGCATATGATTGTGTCGGATTAACGAGTATGTCGGATAAACGAAATTTAGAAGTATCAACGTTCGTGATCGAAAATCGGATAACTACATAATAGATAAGGATTCAAACACGTTATAAAAAATATAAAATATATATTCATATTGTTATATTACATTGTTGGCGGAATGTGTTTTCTAACCATGCAACCTCTAAAGTTTAACACAAACAACTGTTACGGGCTGTATGACCGATTCAAAATAATTTAAAAAGCATAGTCTGGTATGGAAGTCACAACTTTGAAACTGGTACCCAAAGCTTAAGAAAGCTGCTTTCTAAGTGGCTAACGTCGACTTCCTGTTGGTTATTTCATTGGTCGGTCATAGTTCGCGAAAGGTTGTATACTGAACAAAGAAAGTAAGGGATCATGAATGTTTTGGGGGATATTTTTTGCAGTGAAGACTGAACACACAATGTCTTAAAAATATCCCCAAAATATCCATCATCCCAAACTTTTTTGTTCAGTATAGTAGGAATAACAAACAGTAATATCACGAAATACAGTCGAGCACCCTTAGTTCGTTGTTACGCTACAAAAAAGTCGGGTCCATTTAGCTCACCTTCCGCTAACAGTCTGTCTCGGATTTCCCATGCAAACATTGTGGGGTTGTTCCTCTTGAGGTCCTCGATCTTGGACACGACACCAGGCGTCGCCACCTTGGGCTTGCTTCCACCGATGCTGTTACATCTGAACGTGAAGGGATCATACAGACGACCTGAGAATGGAGAGAGAGAGGTGTTGAGCGAGGAAAGCTCCTGGAAAAAGGGATAACCTTGACATTAGGATGTCCGTGGTTTATTGATTTCTCTTCTCAAACACACCTTGACACATTCCGACGTAAAAAAATAAAATTTTCGTATCTCAATTTTCCCCGCCACTGTGGAAAATTATGCCCCCATATGAAAAAAAAATACCATTGCACGTTCATAAAAAAACCCAGGTCAGCTTGATTTTTATTAAGCTATGTTTATTAAAAATTCATATCCGAAGCAAAGGGACTCCATGTACGCCATGTATTATTTTAAAGACTGGCAACGGGTGTTTTCAACTTTAAAATGTCAACAAAAAAGTTTCATAATTAGTGAAATATTATTATTTTTTTTTTATTTCGCCCGCCCACTCTCTTGCTGGTTGAGTTTGGAGATGAGAAACACACAATAAAAGACATATAGATGGCCTAAGAGTCGAGGCCCTAGATGAGGTGGGCGTAGGGGTTCTAAACATTAAAAAACGTGGGATAAGGATCCACCAGTATTGGCTGGTTTGCGGGATCTTCATGACGATCGCGTAGCTATTTCGTTCATAAAGATAGAAGACAATTTGTATTTTAATGAAATCATTCAGATACGATTGCAGAATTCAGTTTTTGATCAGTTTACAAGAAAAAAATCAAATATTTTATAACAGATTCCACATAATAATTTCTAATATATCCAAATCGTGACTTTAAGCATGCTTTTTCAGCCCAATTTACAACACTTCAACATGGCAGGGGCCACGTAGTTGCATATTTATATCTTACAGTTTCTATGGAACAAATTTAATTTTACCCCAAATTACCCAATTACAGGTAACGTTTTGCACACTGTTGCACGAATGGGTGGTGGTTTAATAGACATAATCAAATCTAACAACAGTTCCTTCAATTTTCAATTGCATAAAAAGTTATGTTTTCGAATTCATTAATTGTGGCAAATGTATTCAAAATACAAGCCTTAATTATCTGTCATATGTGGTAATAAGGGTTTTTTAATTAAACGGGAAGATGGGGTTAATCTGAGCATAAAATGTCACGATTGGAATACCCGTCAATACGTTACGAGTGCCTACAAATACATATATGATTTTAATTTAATTAATTTATGAAAAAAAATAGAATATTTAAAAAGTTAAAGTGCTTTTAAGTGCGGTTGTTTTAAAATCTCCCATTTTCTGTTCCACGCAATTAATCCTAGAATGGCACGCTTGCTTTGAAATACCAACTGTGTTTTGAAACCTATTCGAAAGCTTAATAAGCCGTAACTTGTCAACTGTTTAGAAACGTGATTAAAAGTGATCGGATCATGTGATGTATGGAACCAGTTAATTCAAATGGGTTTTTTTGAAAGTGCAATGACTGTCACGTTTTAATGTAATTCTAATTTATACTCTATCTATGATATTTGTAAAGGAGCGCTGTTCGAACTATACCAGTGATCACCAGTTTGCCATTAGTTCACACATGTTGCCCACTGATGGAAATATGGCTACTTCTCTTGCACTACACGAATTATAATTGCGGTTTCTGACGCAGCTGTGCTCTGGGAAACAGTTTATTTTATTCCTTTTTAAAAAAAAAAAAAAATTAGAAAGTGATAGTTTTGGAAATATGTGCATAAGCGACAATAACGCCTGCAGTTTTTAGTAAAAACTATTGAAAGTTGTTGATTTGTTTTTGGATAATTATTGTTATTTTTATTCATACGTTCGATATGGGCAAACACATTCCACATGCTTCAGATTATATCAAAGGTATTATATACAATGTGTCGTCATTGTTCGCACTACTGCGGTTTATGATCACAGAGACCGTCAGCGCCACACCCGGGTGCTCCCACGCCCGGGGTCAAATAGGTTGTTGGGTGGGCTCGTTACCCCTCGCATATTTCCATCTACCCACCTCCCCCCGGACGAAGTCACGCGCCCCCCACGCGCTGCGCACGAGCCAAATCCCCTTCTCGGCACGCGCCGCCACCTGTCGGAACGGTTTGTTTTAAGTGAATTAATATAGTGACAATACAAGCATTAACAGGTGTTTAGATTTGCGTTCGTAAGGCCGGGGAAAACGCCGAGATTACACAGCAATATCTGATCGAGTTGACTTGGAACGTGATAATCAGGTTTGAGAAAAGACTGGGAGTTTGTCGTCGCGACGCGCGCGAAGAACACTTACGATAATGATACAGAGGGCTTAGTGGTCGTTTAAGCGATTTCCGATACATAATTTGCTCTGAAAATAATAAGACGCACACACTAGCATAAACAGTGCCCTGTTTTCCAACAACCTTTGGCGTATTTGTTGAGTGAACACTTACCCCAGACAATAAACAATGTGTTCTATTCTCCCCTGATCAGTTTTGTGCTTTGTGTAACTTGTCGGATCACTAGCCGTATTGATTTTCGTCGTTGCGTGCTCAACACGAAACTGATGCGGAAAGTCATGTTTGAAAAGGGAGGATGGCACGGTTCCTGCAACTGCGGAAGTTCTTTATGCATGTTCTAAGTAGTTAGACTATATTCCGCTTCATACCCTATATAATTACCCCTTTGCCAAGAAGCAACAAATACAGAATGATCACAATTATCCTCCAGAACGGTCCCGGAACTAAAAAAGGTTTTCTTGAAATAAGCTATGCACATAATTCTCTTGGTTGTAATAATAATTAAGTAATGGTTTCAATGACAATTTTGACATGTAGCGGCCATAACATTTCCGAGTCCCGTGATGGGATTCGAACCACGGACCTTCTGATCCGAGGTCGGACGCCTTGTCCACATAACCAAAGAGGTTAACCCCGTCAGCATGTTGACAAGGTAAGGATGTCATCTGTGGGATGACTCCACGCCCTGCTACAGAAATATTACCCGGAAATATAATAATTAGCTTATTCTTTTCTATAACCCAAAGAACAGAATTTTATAACACTTAAATTAAATTCTAATACGAAACAGATGTGACGGTTGTTACAGCACGTGGAATTCTATAGGTGATGTTTTTTCGGCTCATATGTCACAGGACCCGTGAAGACCCGGGGTAGAATAGGTCTTCAGCAACCCATGCCGTAAAATGCGACTATGTATGTCGTAAAAGGCGACTAACGGGATCGGGTGGTCAGGCTCGCTGACTTGGTTGATGCATGTCATCGATCCCAATTGCGCGTGGATAGATGCTCATGATGTAAATCACTGGATTGTCTGGTCCAGAATCGAATATTTGCAGACCGCTGTCATATAGCTGGAATATTGCTGAGTGCAGCGTAAAACAAGAAACAAACAAAAATATAAAAACAATCATGTCACAGATATTGTCACGTGCATTTGTTTTAAAAGAGTCACTTTTCGCAGAGGAAAATATTCTTTTAAACCACATAATTACGTTTCCGTAATGATTGATGGCAATATATTAATACTGAACGTTTTTTAATCACAAATATTAAAACTTTTTGTTTTCTTATACAAAAATATTTGGGCATCTTTATTGTCTTATATATACTACACATTGTAACACATACCGTTTTATCATAAAGAAATAAGAACATCGGTTTGATATCCGAATTTCAAATGTTATAAATATATATAATATATAAGTTATCTTCCCGTCAGATTGACTAAAGGTTATTATGAATTTCAAAAGGGCTTACAAAATATCCCAATAGACTAATTATGTATGGATTAGAAGTAAAAGAAATAAAAACATATACCATGAATAGACTGACCGTCGTTGTCTCTCAATACTGCCATTTTCAGTCACTGAGTGATAAAATAGAGCGTGCACATGTCTGGAATTCGTCATCAAATATAATAAGTGGTAAGCTAACTGCAAAATGACTGAAATATTTGGGCGTTTTGTAAATTACCTAAGTGGAAATTCCAGTCAATTTACATATTGACTGTAACCAGAGACTTTGAACCTATATATTCCCGTAACATATACCCGTTGTCATGGGACCTCCTGTTACATTGCGCACGTGCTTCCGATGTGCGGGCGAGTGTTTATCGCGCTGCTGTCAATCACGTGTGCTGATGGACTTTGATTACACTTTGTAATCGAAACAAGTCACTGAAATTGACAAGAAGCGGCCGATTCAATCTGTTTAGTGAGTATATGGTTAATTATAGGAACTCATTATTGGCAGTAAATAAAAACATGCGCGCCTATATGTTAGCAGAGAATATAACTTACATATAGGAATACATAATTTTTATTTACTGACCTATAACGAGTCGCTGGGGTTATTATATATATTTACAGTTTCGTTTTTTCAAAATTTGCCAGTATTAGTTCACGCCACTCTACATGACGATTCACACACAGTAGTGTAGCTCGTCACGCCGAATACCCGGGTTCGATTCCCACATGGGTACAATGTGTGAAGCCCATTTCTGGTGTCCCCCGCCGTGATATTGCTGGAATATTGCTAAAAGCGGCCCAAAACCATACTCACTCACTTCCGTTAAACCACAACTTGAACTCTCACGTTTAAGTATTTATAAATATTTATATAGAACTCTCAGGTATTTATAAATATTTATATAGAACTCTCAGGTATTTATAAATATAATACACCATCCTAAACAAAATACAAAATGGCCTAAACATCCATCTGTCCACCTCAGAACCAGAATAATTTGTAAGTGGTTTCGCGATAATAATTATTTTCATGTTAAGATTATCAGGTGATAGTCTCGAACAAATACCCTTTTCTGTGTTAAACAGCTGTTTCTAGACCAACATTTTATCCTTAGATAAGTCGCGAGTACTATTTTGTTGTGGTATTTAATTTGAAAACACCAACCCCAATCTCTCAGCCCTAATGGATGCAAAAAATGATGCATCTAGTTTGTGATTGTTTGTCAGTGACGCATGTGTTTATAAGCTTTTAGCAACAATGGACGAAATATAATGAATATTTTATCACAAATATCCATTTTAGTCTAACAGGAACTCGATCCAAT